TAGATAATAGGGGTTCTCTCTTGCCATGCTCTGGGAACCATTCCATGCCTGAAATTGAGATCAAGCTTCCACATGCAAGATATAAGTTCAGTCCTTTGAGCTATCTCTCCATTCCTGGGAACTTAGCTCTATTAAGATTGTCCACAGTTTTGTTTGATTGTTTTTGGGCCATGCGGGTGATATGCAAGTATTATTCCTCTCTCTGCACTCAAAAATTACTCCTGGTTGTACTCAGATACCATATAGGATGCTGAGAATTGAACTCAATTCAATTCAATTGGCCCAGGTGGGCCACTTGCAAGACAAAAGCCCTTATCTGCTGCACTATCTCTTTGACCCCTGATTGTCCAGTTCTTTCAGCTTGCTTCACTTGTTCTTCAATTTTACATCCTTAGGAGCGATAGCACAGTGGGTAAGACATTTGCCTTGCACACGGCTGACATGGCCGACCTGGGTTTGATTCCTTCACCCTTCTCGGAGAGCCCAGCAAGCTACCAAGAGTATCTCACCCGCACAGCAAAGACTGGCAAGCTCCCCGTGACGTATTCAATATGCCAAAAACAGTAACAACAAGTCTCACAATTTGTTGTGAGATGTTACTGGGTCTGCTTGCGCAAATCAATGAACAATGAGAGGACACTGCTACAGTGCTATATTGCATATATGTACACACATGTATCTACGTATAATATATATATATATCATTCATATATATCATCCAATGCTTGTATTTTTCTTTTTAGTTAGGTCACTTCACATATTTACTTTCAATTTCTTCAGTTTTCTTGGGGATTACAAACTTTTACCTTCTGTTTCAAAATAAATGAACCGAGGTGTAGCCCCATAATGAACAAACAAAAATTTCTGGGTCTCCTACAGGCAAAGCTTGAGCTCAGTGCATTGAGTTATCTCTCCTTCCCCTTCCCTTTCACCCCCCCCCCCAACAGATTAGGAGCTGGAGTGATACCACAAGGGGTTAGAGCGTCTGCCTTGCACGCAGCTGACCTGGGTTTGATTTTTCTGTCCCTCTCGGAGAGCCCTACTGAGGGTATCCCGCCTGCACAGCAGAGTTTGGCAAGCTCCCTGTGGCATATTCGATATGCCAAAAACAGTCACAACAAGTCTCACAATGTAGACATTACTTGTGCCCCCTCAAGCAAATCGATGAACAATGGGAGGACAGTGCTACAGTGCTAACTGGTTTGTCTATCAGTTACAAAAGTCTGCCACATTTTCTTCATACAGTGATCACTGGAAGGGCATGCCATTTTCTTTCATCTGTTAACTATAGTGAATAATGAATGCAACAGTAAATACTGATGGATAATAACATTTTTGTTCATCGGGGAGATATCAAAATTGTGTTATTGGATCTACTATAAGCAGTAGCTCTAACAGGTTTGAGGTGCTGACTTATACCTATCTTGGTTTATGTTTTTGTCATAATAAATGATGAGGAGTATATATTTCAGGGGCCTGTTGGTCAGTCTTATTTGGGAAATGTATATTCAGATTTACTGATGATATTTTCATTTCATTGTTCTTTTTTCTTTTCTTTTTTTTCCCCCTTTTGGGTCACATCCGGCAATGTATAGGGATTACTCCTGGCTCGTGCTCTGAGGAATTACTACTGGATCAGGGGACATATGGGATGTTGGGAATCAAACCCAGGTCAGCATTGTGCAAGGCAAAAGCCCTACCCACTGTATTACTGGTCCAGCCCCTCATTGGTTTCTTTGATTTTTGTTTTTGTTTTAAGTCAAAGCTGAAACACTGGTTTGCACAATGCAAATGTTTATATACTTTAGGAGCATAATGTTACCATACCCTGTCAACCACAAAAATGCTAATATCCTCCACCAGAGCCCATTGAACCTTAGCCCACACCAACTACCCATGGCAAATTCAGTTCTATTTTCAGAATCCGAAGAACCAGTGGCCATAAAATAAATAGAAAACATCTTAGTTATTTATTTCTTGACATCCAAGTCTTGGAGGACTTCACCCCAATAGCAAGAAAAATGAAAGAGGGCCAGAGAAATAGAACAGTGGGTAGGGTGTTTGCCTTGCATAAAACTGACTCAGGTTTGATTCCTGGCATTCCAAGCCTGCCAGGAGTAATTCCTGAGTGCAGATTCAGGGGTAGCCCCTGAACACCACTGGATGTGACCCAAAAGCCAAAAGAAGAAAAGGAAATAAAAGAAAAAGCAAACAATTGCCTCTACATCAAATTTTAAAGACTTTACACAACAAAAGAGCACTGTAGCATGGTAGCACTGTCCTCCTGTTGTTTATCGAGTTGCTCGAGTGGGCACCAGTAATGTCTCAAAACAAATTGTGAGCTTTGTTGTTATAGTTTTGGGCATATCGAATATGTCACAGGTAGCTTACCAGGCTTTGCTGTGCAGGCGAGATACTCTCGGTAGCTTGCCGGGCTCTCCAAGAGGGGTGGAGGAATTGAACCCGGGTCGGCCGCGTTCAAGCCTAATGCCCTACCTACTGTGCTATTGCTCCAGCCCACAACAAAAGAGAATAGTAAGAAAGCAAAAAGGCTTTCTTACTATTGCTTTTGTACTGGTTGGGAAAAATATTTGCATATATACCACAGTTTAATACCCATGGTATATGAAGAATTCATGCAACTCAAATGTAAAAGAAAATCAAAGATGGGACCAAAGCGATAGTACAGTGGGTAGGGTACTTGCCTTGCATGGTGCCAATCTGGATTCTATCCCTGCTACCCTGCATCATCCCTGAGTCATTCCTGGGTATCCTTATCATAAAAGATATGACAGATACTCTTTTCTTGAATATATATATGTATATATATATATATATATATATATATATATATCAGGGCTGTTAGAGTGCTTTCACATTTTACAATTATTTTTTGTTTGTTTAGGTTTCTGTTTCTGGTTTTGATTTTGGACTACACTGGCAGTGCTCAGTACCTTCTCCTGGCTTTGTGTTCAGAAGCCATTCCTTGCTGTGATCGAGGGACTATCTGTGGTGCCAGAGATTATACCAGGTAAACCATGTCAGCCTCGTACCACAAAACATGCTATCCACTATACTATAACTCTGCTCATGATTGATTTTTTTTTTTTTTTTGCTTTGGATCACACCCAGAGGTTCTTAGGGCATGCTCCTAGTTCTGTGCTCTGGGATCACTCCTGTTGATGATCACTTAATCACTTAATCACTTAACTTCCCGTTAGTCGTCGATTTGCTCGAGCGGGCACCAGTAATGTTTCCATTTGTCCCTGTCGCGTGCTAGTGTAGCCCAATGGCATCTGTTCGCTCCAGGAACATGAAGGGCCTCAAACCGATCGTTCATGATCTTGACGAAGATGTCTGACCATCTGGTAGGTGGGCGGCCACGCGGTCTTTTGACATCCTGTGGAATCCAATCAGTAACAGCTCTAGTCCAACGGTCGTCTTTATATATGTTAATGCAGGAAGAACAGTGGAATCAAAGAGATGTGCCCGGAGCCGGAGGTTCTTCGTCCTCTTAGCTATTTCTTCGACGTTCTTGAAGGCGTTCCAAGCCGCTCTCTTCCTCCTGCGCAGCTCGGGTGCCAGGTCATTTGTCATGTTGACCTCTCGACCTAGGTACACATAGCTGTTGCATTCGGAGATGGTCGTTCCATTGAGAGCGAATGGGGCGTCAGGAACAAGGCTGTTTCTCATAAACATTGTCTTCGTAAGATTCAGCTGTAGTCCTACCTTTCCACACTCACGGTCAAAGTCGGCCAGCATTTGTGCCGCTTGGCTGATGTTTGGTGTTATTAAAACAATGTCATCAGCAAAGCGGAGGTGGTGTAGTTGCTGACCATCTATCTTCACTCCCATTCCTTCCCATTCCAGTCGTTGCATGATGTTCTCGAGGGTGGCACTGAAGAGTTTCGGTGAAATGGTATCACCCTGTCGCACCCCTCTCTTGATCAATGATCACTTCTTTGTAGAATGGTGAGATCCTGGTAGTGAATCCGCAATACAGCTCACGGAGGATCCTGATGTATTGGGCTTGAATGCCCTGATTGGCTAGGGCTTCAATGACCGCTTCCGTCTCAACAGAATCAAAGGCCTTCTTTAAATCAATGAACGTTAAACAGAGCGGCATCTTGAACTCCTGAGAAACCTCAGTGAGCTTGGTTACCGTGTGGATATGGTCGATTGTGCTGAATCCTTTGTGGGACCCGGCTTGCTCGCATGGTTGTCCTTCATCTAGTGTTCTGCCAATCCTATTTAGGATGACTCGAGTGAACAACTTGTAGATGACAGACAATAGGCAGATCGGGCGATAGTTGCCAATGTCATGGATGTCTCCCTTCTTGAACAGTAGTACGGTCCTGCTGGTTTTCCATTGGGACGGAACCTTGCATTCAGACAGGTAGCGAGTGAAGAGCCGAGCCAGTGTATTGATGAGTACTGACGGCAGGTTCTTCGAGTGTTCAGGTCTGACCTTGTCTGGGCCGGGTGCTGTTTGTTTCTTTACCGACAAAATGGCGTGTCTGATTTCGGAAGGGAGAACGTTGGGAACGACATATCCATCCTGTGGAATTTGATATGTCGGCAAGTGGACATGGCTATCGAAGAGATTTGAGTAGAAGTCATGGATAATCTTCTCCATTGCCGTTCTGGAGGATGTGATGGATCCATCAGGACGTTGGAGGGCAGTCATCCTGATCAGGAAGCCAAATGTGTGACAGAGGGTCACATCCAGATTGGTACCACACAATTGGTACAGCAGCTGCTGTAGTGTGGGTGTGTTCGGCCACACCCTACCCTGTGTGTCTAGGATTACCCCTGGCAGATGCTGAGGCACAGTAGGGTGTGGCCCTGAAACAAAAACAAACACAAATTGACCTCTCCTATATAAGCAGCCTTAACTTTAAGTGCTCTAACTCTTGGGTTCTATCTTGGGATTCTATCTTGGAGAAGAGACCATCCTGGCTGGAAAAATGGCACCTCCCAGGCCATTTCCGAGTTCCCAGGCCTCAAGGGCTCATCAGCTGCAAGCGTTCCTCAGCCTGAGGAGGAGATGGTGCTGCCTGGCTTCCCGGACATCGACAGCTTCATGAAGTTTGCTCTCAGGTCAGTGGAGGCAGTCATTAAGGCATCTGGGAGCCTGCCACAATCTGGCCCAGAATATGATTTTTACCAAAGTTTTCCTGGCTTCCAAGCATTGTGTGAGACTCAAGGAGACAGAATACGTGAGGGCATGAGCAGAATGATGCAGTACTACGGGTGTCAGAGCTACATCAAGGACTGCAGGAAAGTGACGGACTTGGAAGACAAATTTGATTTATTGGTTGACGCCAATGATGCTATTCTGGACGGAGTGGACATTTTACTGGATGAAGCTTCAGGCATGAAGAAGCATCAGCTGCCCGTCCTCCCCATAGGATCACAAGCCCGCCAAATGATCATGTCCAGCTGGAACCGGAAGGTAGGAGAATCAGGCAAAAAAACAAAATCGGAACCCTTCCGGTTGCTTCACGTGAAGAACATCATCCGACCGCAGCTTAAATTCCGAGAGAAGATCGACAATTCCAACACTCCATTTGTTCCAAAGATCTTCATCAAGCCCAACGCCCTGAAACCTCTCCCTCGGGCGCTGTCTAAGGAGAGTCGGGAGCACACCAAGAACCAATCAGAGGACCCGGATGTGCCACCGGCCCTGGTCCACTTCCTCCACCAGCAGCGGACCCAGCAGGTAGAGTAGGACGTGTTCGCACACCCCTATCAGTACGAACTGGATCACTTTACGCCCCCAGAGTGGGCGCTTCAGAAACCGCAGCCCCAAGCCTACAAGCCCCTGGAGGACACTGCCTGCCACTTGGTGACCTCGCTGGACCAACTCGTGCAACTCAACGCGACGCTCCTGGCCTGTTGGGAATTTGCGGTGGACTTGGAGCATCACTTTTACCGGAGCTTCCTGGGCCTGACCTGCCTGATGCAGATTTCCACGCGCACCGAAGACTTCATCATCGACACGCTGGAGCTGCGCAGTGACATGTACCTCCTCAACGAGAGCTTCACAGACCCTGCCATCGTGAAGGTCTTCCACGGCGCTAACTCAGACATAGAATGGCTGCAGAAGGACTTCGGGCTGTACGTGGTGAACATGTTCGACACGCAGCAGGCAGCGCGCCTTCTTCAGCTGGGCCGGCACTCCCTGGACCACTTGCTGAAACGCTACTGCAACGTGCAGGCGAACAAGCAGTATCAGCTGGCCGACTGGAGGATGCGCCCTTTGCCGGAGGAAATGCTCCACTATGCCCGCGAGGACACCCACTACCTGCTCTACATCTACGACTGCATGAGGCTGGAGCTGTGGGCTGCTGCCAGCGAGCAGCCCACGAAGGCCCGGGTGGTGTGGCAGCGCAGTAGGGACATCTGCCTCCGGAAGTTCGCCAAACCGCTCTTCACGGATGAGTCCTACCTGAAGCTGTATGAGAAGCTGAAGACGCCTCTTAACGCACAGCAGCTGACAGCCTTCCGGCTGCTGTTCGCCTGGAGGGATCACCTGGCAAGGAGGGAGGATGAGAGTTGCTGCTATGTCTTGCCCAACCGCATGATGCTGAAGATCTCAGAAGAGCTGCCCGAGGAGCCCCAGGGCATCATTGCCTGCTGCACCCCCGTCCCGCCTCTGGTATGGCAACAACTTCATGAGCTGCATCTTCTCATCCAGAAGGCGCGAGGAACCCCTCTGTGCCAGTCGGAAGTTTCCACCGGAGTGAGGAGAGCACTGCTGCCCCATCCCGAGAGGCTGGAAAATGTTCTCGTTGGACCTCACGACCGCTCCCACGCTTGGTCTGGTGACTACCCTGCCGTCCCCACCAATAGGCCTGTCCCGGACCAGACGCAGGCCGGCCTCTTCCCAGCCCAGCACGAAGAGAAGACCCTGGTGGCCACCAGCCGCTTCGTTGCCACGGCCGCGGACACCTTGTTTAATGAGGCAAGTGCAGAGCAAAAGGACAAAACCCAGAAGAAAGTCCAGCCAGTGATGCAGTACTTGGAGAACCCATTCGGGATGCTTCCGCAGATGCTCCAACACCACGCCCACGCCCAGGCAGCCAAGGCCGACCCTTCCTCCAGCATCAATGAAATCAGCGAGCGCTGGGAGCTGGCCAGCCAGGCGCAGGGACAGAAGGACTCTAAGGACACCGCCAGGAAGAGGGCAGCCCAGGCGACAGCCGCCCAAGACGAGGCCAAGGAAGGGTCGCAGACCCCTGCCCAGCCGGCTCTGTCGCTCAGCCAGCAGATCGCCCTGGAAAACGCTGCCAAGAAGAGAGAGCGAACAAGTGACCCCAGAGCCCCTGAACAGAGACAAGAGAAGAAATGGTCCAAACTGGCTGAGAAGCCCCAGGAACCCAGGGAGGCGCGGGAGAAAGCTTCTACTTCCTTTGACTACCGCAAGCCAAACGTCCAGGCGTTTGCTGGAAACAGCAAGTCCCAAGCGGCCTCCCAGTTTGACCCCGGAAAGCAGATCGTAGCTGGCAAGAAATTCATCGCAGCCAAAGAACTCAAACAGACCGCGGGAAACAAAAGCATGTCCTTCCTTCCCCGGGAGTTGAACAGAGGGTTCAGATGCAACTGGCCCAGGAGACCGCATCCGCCAGATTTCCGGGGTCTTCCCAGGACCGGGAGGCAACGGCCTTGGGATGGTTTTGTATACCATCCCAATTTTAACACTGTTAGAAATAATTGTTACTGGGAAAAAGAATAACTAAACTGGAGCTTGTGACCCCATGTGCAGTCACGTATTTGAATAGGTGGTGCTAAAGAATCTTTTTGCATTTGTTTTTCTCGTTTGTTTTTGGGTTTTATATCCAGTGGTACTCAGAATTTATGCCTGGGTCTGTACTCAGGAATTACACCGGGCACGCTTGAGGGACCATGTGGGGTGCTGTGGATCAAACTGGGGCTGGCTGTGGGGACAAGGCAAATCCCTTAGTTGCTGTACTATTGCTTCACTCCAAAAATCTTTAAAAAAATTGTTTTAGGATCAGAGAGTCGGTACATCAGGGACAGTTCTTGTATTTTGGTTCCAGGAATACCTTAGGGAGTGATTCCCAAGCACAAAGACAGGAGCAAGCCCTAAGCACAGCCAGGTACGGCTCAACCCTCCTGCCTACAGCAAATTAAATAAAAAACTGTTTTAAAATACATTTCTTAGTTCTGGAGATCAATGGATTGATGCTTTACACGGAGGAAAATTGAGTGTTGATTCGTGGCACCATATGGTTCCTGAGCACTGTTAGATTAGTGCCCAGCACAGATCTAGGAATAACCCCTGAGCACCACTGGATGTACCCATTCCAAATTATTTGTGATTATTTTCTGGAAATGTTTGAATTGTGTACATATGCATATACATGTACACCTGTATACTTGAATTGTATATACATATTACTCAAGTTGCATAAAAACTTATCGGATAGAGGGACTAGAGTGGTAGTTGAAGCTTGCCTTAAAAACCTTAGAGTGAAATATTAGATTATTTTGGTTCTGCTTTGGGGCAGGGATTGGGGTTCAGGATGGGATGATGGGAAGATCATCAAAATATGATGATGGGAAGATGTAATGATGATGGGACTGGTGTTTGAATATTAAATGTAATAAGATATTGTGAACTACTTTATAAAATAATTTTTTTTGAAAAGCTTGCCTTGCATATGTCAGACCTGGGTGGTTCAATTTCTGGCACCCCATGGTGCCCAAGCACTGCAGGAGTGACCCCTGATCACAGAACCAAGAGTAACACTGCCAAGTGTGGCCAAAAAGTAAAAACAAAATACCCCAAAACATATTGAGTGAAGGTGGTGGTGAAGGCCAGACAACTGGTACAGCAGGTAAGGCATCTACTTTGCCCACGGCTGAACTAGATTCAATCCCCAGCACTATTTGTGGTCCTCCAGCACTTCAAGGAATGATCTCTGAGACCGAGAGGAATAAGCCCTGAGCAAAGCTGGGTATAACTCAAAACTGAAAAGGAAAAAAGGAAGGCTGGAGATATAGCTTGGGCATTTGCCTTGCACGTGGCCGACCTGGATTTGATCCCTGGCATCCCCTATGGTTCCCTGAGTACTGCCAGAAGTAATTCCTGAGTGCAGAGCCAGGAGTAACCCCTGAGCATTGCCGGGCTGACCCCAAGAACCAAAATAAATAAATAAATAAATAAAAATTAAAGAAAAATAAAAAGAGAAGAAAAAGGGGAGGGGAGTCATGAACAGAAAAAATTTTTTTTCCCTTTATTTTATTTTATTTTTTTTTTACAGTTGTAGATTTACAATTTTTTGTGCTTTGGTTTCAATTATACAATGATCAGATACCCATCCCTCCACCAGTGCCCATTTTCCACCACCATGGATAATATCCCTCCCACCCCCATCCCCCCATCCCCCCCTGTCTCTGTGGCATGGCAATCCCCTGTGATGAACAGAAAAATTTTAAGGAACCTGCTCTGATTAGAGGCAGCCAGAATGCAGGGATATTTCCAGATGTTTCCAGAATCCCAGGGATGTTTGCAGGTGTGGGTAGAACACACATCTCCTGGATCCCCCGCAACACAGAGAGGAAACTCTGGCACAAGTAGTGCATGTTCAGTTACCATCATGTCCCACATTCTATCTCCCGTGGCTAGAACTCCAGTGCTCAGAGGTTCAGCAGCCAGTCCTCCCCTTAGCCAGTCACAGGGTATCTGGTGGCTGAAAGAACCAGGTACAGACTTTTCCCTCCTCAGTTTGATACACAGCCAGTTGTTTTATACACACCCAGCATCCACCTCTCACCTGCTTCTCCATCATTTGGCCATGTAACCCTGTCCCACTCTTCTATAGAGGAAAAGCTCCTGTTTTTTGCACAAGCCAGGGGTTACCCCTGGCTCTGTACTCAGGAATTACTCTCAAAGATGCCCTGGAGAACATATGGGATGCTGGGAATCGAACCCAGTGTGCCTTGTGCAAGGCAAATGCTCTTACAGACTGTAGGGCCCCCAGGGGATCTTGTTAACAGTGGGCCCAACCCTCTCTATCACCTCCCTCCTGTCTCTCCCTGTGAGGCGCTGTTCCTCTAGCCATGCAATCCTTATTCAGGGTCTGCATTTCACTCAGCATTTAGTTGAAAACATGGGGGTGAGAATCCAGTAACTTTCTCCATCCTTTGCATTGCTGGTATCCCCTGGTAGTCTTATCTCCTGATAGTCTTACTTAAAGCACAATGACTCTTCGAGGAAATTCAGTAACTTTACTGAAGAACATGTTCTTCAGATGGGGCCAGTGCTCAGTCCAGCTTGCTCTTTGGACCCACAGCGCTGACTGTTGCTCACAGGAGCTGGGCTGGGAGATGGCTGCTCTCAGCAGCCTACGCTAGGCCTCAAAGCACGGAATCAGGTCATTTACTGCCCAGCAAAGGGAAACTTATATGAAGGGGATTGGGTTTCTCCAAATAAATTTATAAATTTGATGTATTTCTAAGAGATGTTAAGAAGTCTGAGCACGTTACTAACATTTTTGTATTAAAATAGAGGTTCTGTAAAAAAAACTAATTCTGGGTAAAAATAATTGTACAAGCACCATTAGGATCCCTTTTAGTAATAATATACAGACAAGATGTGTTTTCCTTACCAGAGCGGTACTAAGACTGGTTATTGCAGTTTGGGGTGCAGTGGGGGAGGTTACACTCAGTGTGTCAGGGTTTACTCCTGACTGTATTGAGGGATACTCTTGGTGGTGTTCCAGAGACCATATGTGATGCCAGTGAGTAAACCTTGGTCATTTACATATAAAACAAACACCTTAAACGCCTTACAATGGTTCAGCCCAACTGCATGTTCTTATTGGTCCAGGAGTACAGAAATAAAACACTGTAATAAAGTATAGAATAAAAAAACACATACAGTTTATGTGGTTCTATCTCCTCTTCTAAGCACATAACATAACAATCAGAGAATTCTGATTGTTTTTTAACATCTTCATTAGAGTTCGCTCCTCATTTCATGCCACCTTTCCATTATTTCTCATCTCAGTACACACTATAATCATATATACATATATATGTATATGTGTGTGTGCGTGTATATGTGTGTGTGTGTGTGTGTGTTTGTGTATATGTGTTTTGCTTTATGAGCCACGTTCAGCTCAACAATAGGGATAACAAGCCTGGAATCAAACGCAGGCCTCACACATGCACAGCCAGTGCTCTTCCAAATGAACTACATTCCAACCCTTATTTTAATTTTCCTTTGCTTTGTTTATTTGGGCGACGTGGAGTTCCTCAAGAGTCTCTGCTGTAGTGATGGGGGAATCTGGTTTAGGGTATAAGCCCTGACCACCTGCATAGCCCCTTCCCCCGGCTCCTGAATCATCAGTTTCAGAAGCAAATCGGATTATTTTCATTTTCTGTGTAAAACCCTGATGGGTGCTATGTACACACAGCTCCAATTTCATTGAGCCTGGACAGAAATTTTATAAAAGAGTTGAACTGTTTTGAAGTTCCAGCTATTTTAACAAATACCACTGCTCCTAACACTAGGCAATATTTCCTATGGCCAGTCTTCAATGGTGAGATGGCATTCCAAAGCACTCCTCTGTCCCCCAATTTAATAGATTGAAAAAAGCTAATGATATACCACGAGGCTCTTCACACAACAGAAATACAAATTTCTGAGCAGACATACAGTGACTACCCTCAGCAGTAATCCGGTGATATCACTAACTCATCACAAATTTCCCTCCTAATAATAATGAAAATTAAAGAGTCTCCTCAGATCTATTTAGAAAGGATTGTGAGAACAGTTGCACACTTTCTAGGGAAATATGTGTGCAGACTCTTTTACATAACTTAAAAATGTGAAGGGAAAATTTGGGTGAAGGAAAAAGTCACAGCTATGTACAATATGACACAGGCTTTTTTTTTCTTTTTTGGGTCACACCCAGCGATGCTCAGGGGTTACTCCTGGCTCATGCACTCAGGAACTGCTCCTGGCGGTGCTCGGGGTACCATACGGGATGCTGGGAATCGAACCTGTGCTGGCCATGTTGGCTGCGTGCAAGGCAAATGCCCTACCTGCTGTGCTATGGCTCCAGCCCCGACACAGGCTTTTAATGCACATCCAGTGGTGATGTTGGGGGAAAGGGGGGCCATCGTTGGTGTTTGTGGAACCACATGATGGAAAGAGCATATAAAATATGTGCCTGTCCTTTTTCTCATGCCCGTATAGTAGTTTTGAAAATGTGAAAGTATAATGAAGTGAAATTGTAGGATATGGGAACCGGGAACTTTGAAATAGTTTATTGAGTTTCTCTTCTCAGCTTAAGTACATTATCATCAGTTTGAGGGGCAGGGAGGACACCTGGTGATGTTCAGTGGCTATTTCTGACTCAGCACTCAGGAATTGCTCCTGGAACCTTATGAGATGCCTTGGATCGAATCCAGGTTCCCAACATGCAGAGCAAGCACCTTACCCGCTGTACAATTTCTCTGGTCCCAAGCTCATTATCGTTATTTTAACACAAGGCTGCCCTCTACTGGTTGTTTTATTTGATTTTATTCCTACTTTGATCTTACTGTTACATCAAGTTATCTAACAATAGCCATCCAGTTTTCTTCTTTTCTCCTGTTCCTCCTCGTCCTCGTCCTCGTCCTCGTCCTCGTCCTCGTCCTCGTCCTCCTCCCCCCTTCTCCTTTTTCTGTTCTCAGAGCAGTTCTTGGGAGACTATGTGTTCC